TAGGTTGTTTTTTGTCTGGAAAATGCTGAAAATTTTTTTCCAAATTAATGGTAATTGCTTCTTCACTTTACTTTGGCTTAGGAAAGTTTTCGTAGAGATGCTCTACTTTTGGATGACAGTGGAATTGGAGATGTGGGGAACCAGTACATACATACAAATTTAATTTCTTCTACCTGTGGTTGGTCTATTGGGTAGTCTTTCACCTTAATGAAAATAAATTTCAAAGTCTGTCTAACGTATTTCCAGATTTATGGCAAGCTAAAAATTCAGCAACAGGTTGAATTTTGGCTTAATATTTTAAAATATTTTTTATCAATAACCTTAATCCTTCTCTGAGTATAAAAAGAGCCAGTTAAATTTTAAGAAAGTCATGTTAATCCAATTTGAATAAATGGATACTTAAACAGATCTGAAAACAGTCCCTATCAAAGGTTGTATCATCAATCAACTGCAAGCCTGACAAGGGAGATATGATAACTGTGTACCTTTTCATTTTAGGCAATATGTACACAGTCCAGTACAACAAGTAACTTTAAGGTAGCCCATATGTGAAAACCACCATCACTATGGCAATGGAAATCTTAATGATTACACATGTAATGATTCATCATGTACCCTGAAAAGATATTGTTTTCCAGAGACAGAGAACAACTTAAAACCAGGCTTCACTGGGAAAAAAAAAAAAAAGTTAAAGAATAACCTGGGGTGGTGGCTGTTTTTCAAATGTTTATACTTTTGTTAGGACATCTATCCTAATATTAATTCCAGTTCAAAGAGGTAATGAATATGTCCATTAGGTCATTCATTCACTCATTCAAGAAATGATTTGTGCAAAGTAGGTGTCCTCCATTGCATGTGCTCTCCTAAGTGCAAGACATACCACTGTCAACAAGATAAGCAGCCAGCCTATTTCACTGAGTTTCCTGGACTACAATAAGCAAATAAGCAAATAGGCAGCATGATACATAGAGTTTGCTGCCTAATTTGGAAGGGGTTCTGAATAGTTGGGGCACACAGGACTTCCCAGAGGAAGTGATGGCTAAACTGAGACCTGATGCAGGAACATGACCTAACCAATCACAGCAGGGCAGGAAGGTGTGCAGGCATTCCTGCTCCAGGCAGAGGAAGCAAGGCTTTCTCAAGACTCTAGACCTGGAGAGTAGAACACGTGGGTTTGTAGATAGAGAAAAACTGAGGATGGAAAGATAAGGCATGGGGAGAGAGGAGGAAGTACCACATAAAGGAGTATGTTCCTAAAGACCCAGTAATTACAAAAATTGAACTATTACAGACATAATGTAAAGTGAAAGACGTCACACATAAAGGAGTACCTATATACTGTATGATTTCATTTATATGAAATTCGAAACTAAACAAGACTAATCAATGGTGACAGTGATCAAAGACTTGGAAAGGGTGCTAACTTTGAACAGAACATGAAAAGGGACTGGCAGGGAAATGTTATATATCTTCATGGGCAGTGTTAAACTGGTATACACTGGCAAAAATTTACCAAGTTTACATTTATGATTTTTTTCACACTTCCTTAAACAAACTATGCCTTAAAGGGGGAAAATCCAATGGGTAAAAGTAATAGTGAAGTATCTAATAGAAGATGACTTCACAGATTAGAAAATGATCTATTTATATAAATCAAAGGGATCAGTAATTTCCACAGAAAATTACTAAAAAGTTTTAAAATAGGAAAAATATTTTTTTCCACTGTACTGGAAAACAAACTATTCCCAACTCAATATGAGCTCTGAAAATTGTTCTGCCTAATGCTTTTCTTTTTTTTTCTTTTTTTCTTTAAATTTTATTTTTATATTCCCCATACAATTACAACCCCCTTATTTTGACCCCAATCCCTGCTTTCCTCACCCCCCACCCCCCATAGAATGTCTCTGGTTCATTGTTGTTTGTTGATTTTGATATCAGGAAAAATATTCTTTTAATGAAGAGGAGTTTGGGGTTTATCATTTGTGCAATATGGAACTATAGACAGGGATTAATCATAACATTTTCCCTATGAAAAATCAAAGTACATATATACCTTATATGTATGCCAGTGTAGAAAGAAAATGAGAATAACCATAGTGAACAAGGCCTGTGAACAAAGGGGATAAGGATAGATGGTGGCCAGTGTGGAGAGTCAGAGATAGTACCTTCCTCTTCCCCGCAGTGTTCTCTATCCATCTTCCCCTAAAACTTCCAACTTGCTACTGTTGTAGAGTGCAGAACTCCTGGGGAGAAATATAAAGCCAAGGCAAAAAAACCCACAGCACACAGCATATTGAGATTCAGGGGAATATAACACCACATGGCATTGATGAAAGTGGCTAGGGAAAAGCAGGTAACCTATAAGGGAAATCCTATCAGGTTAACATCAGACTTCTCAGAGGAAGCCCTACAGACAAGGAAAGAATGGAACAATGTATTCAAAATACTTAACAATAAAATGCCATCCATGAATACTATATCCTGTAAGGCTCTCAATCAGACATGAGGGGAAAATAAAGGCCTTCCCAAATAGAAACTGAGAGTTTGCCAACACTCAACCTCCTCTACAAGAAATGCTGAAAGGGGATGTTTTATCTAAATCAAAGGGAAGAAAATCCACAAAAACTGAACAAGGAATTAGGTAGAAACAGAAAACTAAAGAAAAAATAACAACATATCAATAACTACCCTAAAGGTAAATGGACTGTATTCATCAATCAAAGGCAGAGTGGTCAATTGGAGAGAAAACAAAACCCAATTCCTGCTGTCTCTAAGGTCTAAAGATAAACACAGACTCACAGTAAAAGATTGGAAAACAATCTTACAAGCAAACAAGAACCCCAAAGAATGCAGTAACATCCATACTTATATCAGATAAAATATATCTCCAACTGAAAAAGTCAGCAAGGGACAGAAATGGACACTACAGAATGATAACAGATCATTACATCAGGAAGACATAATAGTCATCAATATATATGTACCAAATAAAGATGCATCAAACTAAGACAACTATTATCAAATTTAAAATCAGATATTGTCAGCAATACAATACTAGTAAGAAATTTCAATACCTACTTTCACCAATGGACAGATCAACCATACAGAAAATCAATAAGGAAATAAGAACCTTAAATGAGGAATTAGATCACATGGGCTTAATAAACATTTATAGGACACTGTACCTCCAAAAGCTGAATACACATTCTTTTCAAGAGCACACATAACATTCTCTGGGATAGGTCAAATGTTGGGTCACAAAACAAATGTCAATAAATTCATTTTATTTGTTTCATCTCAAGTTTGTATTCATCGCAAGTATATTCTCTGATTACAATGGTATCAAAGTAGAATCAACCACAAAAAGAAAGCATTTCATTACTGAAACTCATATGGAACCGAAAAAAGACACTAAATAGCCAAAGCAATTCTGATTTAAAAAAAGAGGAAGAGTGGTGGTATCACAATCCCAGTTTCAAAATATACTACAAAGCTGAAGTAATCAAAAGAGTATGGTACTGGAACAAAAACAGACACACATGGACCAATGGAGCCCAGAACTACATGCACACATCTAAGGACAGTTTAATTATAACAAAGGAACCAAGAGGATACATTGGAGAAAAGAATCTCTTCAACAAATGATTTTGGGGAAATCAGACAGGCACATAAAAAAGAATGGAACTAGATCACCATCTCACACTTTACACAAATATTAACTCAAAATGGAATAAAGACAAGGATGTAAACACAAAACTGTAAAATACATTGAAGAAAACATTAGCTTAAGTGATGTCTTTGTGGATTCATTGCTGATGGCAAGAAAAACAAAAATGAATATAAACAAATGGGACTACATCAAACTAAAAAGCTTCTGCAAAGCAAAAAGATATAATAATAATAATAATAACAACTATCAGTCAAACAAAAAGACACTCTACTGAATGCGAGAAAATAATTGCATACATCTGGCCTAGGGATAATATACCCAAAATATAGAAATAAATTCATATAACTCACAAAAATAAAAAAATTAAAAAATGGCCAGAAGAAGACATATAGATGACCTATAGGCATATGAAAAAAATGATCATCACTTACCATCAGGGAAATGCATATGAAAACCACAATGAGATACCATCTCACAACTGTGAGAATGGACCTCATCAAAAAGATCAGAAACAACAAGTGTAGGCAAAAATTTGGAGAAAATGGACCTCTTATACACTGTTGGTGGGAATGTAGACTGGTCCAGCCCCCAGGGAAAACAGTGTGGAGGTTTCTCAAAATATTGAAAGTACATCTATCATATGATGTAGCAATTCCACTCCTAAGTATTTACCTAAAGAATGCAAAAACACTAATTTGAAGGGACATATGCACTCCTATGATCACTGCAGTACTGTCTACAACAGCCAAGTTATGGAAACAAACTAAGTGCTTAAGGACAGAGGAGTAGATCAGAAAAATGTGGTATATATACACCGTGGAATACTACTCAGCTATTAAAAAAAAGAAAGATGGACTCTTATCATTTTCTGCAACATAGATGGAGCTGGGGGAAATAATGTTAAGTGAAATAAGTCAGAAGGAGAAAGACATATACCAGATGGCTTCACTTATATGTAAAATATTAGAGAAACAAAACAAAGGATCATACAAAACCAAACCAATAACAAACCCTAGCAAAATGATTGTGGAATTAGTTTACAAGTGGGGCAAAGAGGATGGAAAATAAAAGTGGCATACTGGACTATAGCAGAGGATGGTGGCTGCCTTGGTGGTAGGTGTGATATTGTGACACAAATCTGAAGAGGTGTGTAACTATGACTCCAAATAACATACAGTGTTGTAAACCAACGTCACCACAATTAAATAAAAGATGGAAGGAATGAAAGAAGAGAGGAAAGGAGCAAGGAAGGGAGGGAGAGAATCAAGTTACTGTTCAATAATTTTTTAAATTCTACACATTATTCATTTTCATGAGAAACAGACATTACCTGCTTTGGAGTTTTCAGGATGCTTGTCAGGGTGACATTCCAGAGCTCTGACCTTAAATTCAGCCAGGATTTGTTCAACCTAAAACAAAAATTAATGTTTAAAATATGGAGTCAAACTTCCACATCATGAAGGAAGAAACTGGGTATCAGTTCTTCCCAAAATAGCCAAAATAGCCAACCCAAAAATTTTTTTACGATTTATTTATTTATTCAAGAACTGAGGTGCAGGCCAGAGGCATGGGAGGGTGAGAGGATTCACCAGAGACAGAGCGGGTAGCAGAACAGGCAGACTGACTGAACACATTGCTAAAGGGAGCAGCAGGCGATACAGGAGAGGTTGGCTGCACCATGTGGGTATCTCCCTGGCTGGCCAGGAATCGAACCGCGCTGCAGAGGCTGCAGACAGCTTCACAGTGCTGCGTTCAACCTGCTGCACCACCAGGAGGCCCCAACCCATATTTTTATGTTGATTCTTATATTTGCACTTTGATTTTTACTCTAAGAAATTATTTCCTCAATAACAAAATTCAGAAAGCATCTAATAAAAGCTCCTATTTAAATAACTGTGATTATGATTTAACTTACTAGTATATTTAGATGATAACTCAGGATACCTATGAGCTCAATATACTGAGGTCAAAAATGATCAGATAGGTTTATCCAAAGAATACTTGAAAGATGTACTCACACATCCAAATTGTTGAAAAGAGATTTAGCCATCATTCATTATTCAAGAGTGACTATCCAGATTATAAATCATCCATTATAAAATTCCTTCCTCCTGCCTTTTGGCTCTTTTTTATCAAGAATTTCTCAATAAAAGAAGAAGGACAGAAGTCAAATTTGTTGATTATTACTAATTAGCACCTTGGTTAGAGATTTTGACTGGGAAAACAGAAACTCCAACCCAAACTAAAAGAACAATTGAGAGACATCTATGATTTGACTTGACTTCAGACACCAATCCAATCCCCATTATCATGAATTGGATTTATTAATCATAATTGCAAACACAACATGAGACAACAGTGATAGGTTATGTGACTCTCAAATCTGATTGCTTTATTTTAAATTCTAGTACTTCCTTAAGATTTTAATCAAGTTATATAATTTCCACCTGCCTAGGCATCCTCATCTTTGCATTACATTAATAATGTAAGTACAGCACAACATAAAGCTTGCTAATAGTCAGAACACAATAGTAGTGTTTAATCAGTGGTTAATTAACTTGTCCAGAGTCATTTAACTGGTTACTAAAAAGCTAAGTTTTTTGTTAACTAAGCAATTGGACTTCAAATCCAATAATCTTTTTATTTATTTTTATTTTTTATATATCTTTTTCATCATTTTTCATTTTTGCACAATGTATGCATTTTCATCTTGGTTATAATCCCCATACACTTCCCTCCCTGCTTGTTTTGATCCTACTCCCTTCTCCCCATCCTGTAGTGTGACTCTGGTTTATAGTTGCTTGTTGATCTTGATTTTTTAAAATTTTTGTGTAAAACTGTGGTGTAGGCCAGAGATGCAGGGGGTGAGAGGATTCACCAGAGACAGAGTAGGGAGCAGAACTGGCGAATTTACTGAAATACACTGGTAAGGGGAGCAATAGGCGAAACAGGAGAGATCTGCTGCACCATATGTGGGTTAGTTCCCTGGCCAGGGATGGAACTCAGGCCATAGTGGTGATAGCACTGAGCCTTAACCCCTAAGACACCAGGAAGGCACCAAATCCAATCATCTTAATCACTGTTTTATATGGCCAAATTCTTTAGGTTAAAAAATCCTATCAAATTCCATATTTACTACCCACTAACTAATGAAAGCAAATTACCTCTTGTGTGAGAAATGAATTCTCAAGCTGTTCAGCTCAATATTGTTATAAGATCACTGGAGAAACATTTTTATCAGTTCTATGTCATCTTTAATTAATTCTTAAAATTTTTCTTCACTTTTATTATCTATTATAGACAGATTGTAGAATCTGAATTTATAAGACAAACTGTATTAGATATCCATATATATAAAGTTGAGACTGATAATTCTTTTTTTTTTTAAAGATTTATTTATTCATGCATACAAGAACTGGGGCACAGGCCAGAGGTGCGGGGGTAGTGAGAGGATTCACCAGAGACAGAGTGGGGAGCAGACCAGGCAGACTGACCAAAATACACTGCTGAGGGGAGCAGCGGGCAAGTCAGGAGAGGTCTGCTGTGCCATGTGGGTAGCTCCCTGGCCGGGGATCGAACCTGTGCCACAGTGGATGCGGACAGCCTCATAGGTTGCCTCTTAACCCCTTGCACCACAAGGGAGGCCCAAGACTGATAATTCTTTTCCTTGTTAAGCAACTACTGAGAACCCAGTGGACTAACAAGAAGAGATAAGACTTTCTGTTAGAACAGTAATTCCATTTTCTCTTCTTGGGTGCCGCCTTTAACTATCAGTCACCATAATCTGTTTATATAACAAAGAAATTAAAAATGAGACTTATTTAAAGAATTTTAAATATTAAAGATTCTAAAGATTCTAGTAATAGTATTTTTTAATTAACAAGTAATGCATGAATACACAAACTGAAAAAATTTCCTATCAATCCAGAATAAAAAGTAAAACTCTTTTACCCCTTTTCCACCAAGGTAACAGGTTACATCCTTTATGACACATTTTACACATTTATATACAGAACTATGTATATATCTTGAGAAGTTTTGATAACTTCGGGTAAAAGGATAAAACTAAAGCTATTGATCACAGGTAGAAAAATTGGGGGTTTTATCATTACTGCTGCTTTAATTTTTAATTTCTACTCAATTAGGCAATATTCTAAAATGTGGTATTAGTTCATAGAAACAAATGTGTCAAATAGTTAAATCTTAGTAATACTCTGTGATTATTTAGTTTCTTTTTTGTATTTTCTGCATTTTGCCAATATTATGTTTTTAAAAATTAAGAATAGCCCCTGTCTGTCTCTCATTATTTCTTATAGTTTTACCGTTGCAAAGTTTAACACAAATCTCCTATATAGGACTGGCTCTGAGTAAAGGTTAAGTGTGTTGCTTTGTCTTGGGCACGCTCTATTTCTCTCCTGGCATCTCCATACCATGTGTCCAGTGCCAAGTGCAGCCCATGGGCAACTGAGGCCCTCCATGTCAAGGTCCACTGAATGCTGCCTTCTTGACCCAGTGCCCAATGGCCTGGAAAACTACCTATCCTGTTAACCAATAAACACTAAAAACTGTTCAACTTTAGTCACAATCAAATAAATCAAAACCTCCAAAGAATGATAATGACCAGTATAATTAAGGATGCAAAAAATTAGCATTTCCTGCTTTTCTGGTGAGAATGCAAATAGGTGAAAATTTTCTGGAAAGCAATTGTGAGGTTATATATATATATATCCATATATATATATATATCCATATATATATATATACACACACACACACACATATATATGAAAGCTATATATTTAATTTTTCATATTCTTTGATCCAAAAATTCCAATTCTAGGAATTATTTCAATCAGTTATAAAATGATTCAGTTATAAAATGATTCAATGAATAAATGCTATAATTTTTTTTCTTTTTTAGTACTTTTTATTTCAATGTCTAACCTTGATAGGAATTTTATTTTTTGAGTGATGGGGTCACTCTTAGGGTGAAATTATAAAACCTTACATCTATTACAACTATGCATAATCTTACATTGAATGAAGCATAGTTTTGTTGACAGGAATGCTCTTAGATTTTATTTGGCTTATTTTCCATTTAGAGTCCACGAAGAGCTAGCTGCCGTCTAAAAATTGTCCTTAATTGCATTGAATTGTATAAATTTATTTTTTAAAATATGCATATATAGCATTCTCTACTTTTAATATACAAAGTAAACTATATTAATATACTGTTTATCTACCTTCAGTGCTTCAGGAAGAATAAATTCCATCTGCTTTTTATTTTGTTATTTTATTACTATATGGAATTATACAATATGTACCTTATTCTTAAGTAGATAATTTGATTGAGATCAGTCAGCTAGGCACAGATGGCAAAAATGCCTAGTTATCTGAATTCAATTTGGCTTTCTTTTAAACTTATTTTTCCAGCTTATACATGAATAATCAAGTCTTGAGTGTTTTACAAAAATTTTACAAATTAGTTACAACTCTTTTTTAAATATAAATTATTTTATTTTATATAATTCTTACATCATTTTTCATTTTTGCATAATGTACGCATTTTCATTTTGGTTATATTCCCCATATTTGGTTATATTCCCCATACAATTCCCCCCATCCTCCCCTGTAGTGTGTCTCTGGTCTATAGTTGCTTGTTGATTTTGATCTTTACTTTATTATAATTAGTCTTTTTCCTGGTCCCTTATTTAGGTTTTCTAGATTCCTGCTATGAGTGAGGCCATCCGGTATTTTTCTTTTTCTTTCTGACTTATTTTGCTGAGCATGATCCCTTCCAGCTCCATCCATGTTGCTGCAAATTGCATGAGTTTATCTTTTTTGATTGCTGAGTAATATTCCATGTGTATATGTACCACATCTTCTTGATCCAGTCATCTATTTTGGGGCATTTGGTTGTTTCCAAAGCTTAGCTATTGTAAATAGTGCTGCTATAAACATAGGGGTGCAGGTGCCCTTTTGAATTAATGTTTCTGTGTCCTTTGGGTAAATACCTAGGAGTGGAGTTGCTGGATCATACGGAAGCTCTATCTTTAGTAGGTTAACAAATCTCCACACAGCTTTCCATAGTGGTTGGACCATAAAATGCTATAAATTTTAAACAACAATGTTGTATGAAAAGTAATAAGGTATTAATAGAATATTTGTTAAAGCTAATTGCAATATAACTATAGGCTGGTATATTTTACACTCATAAAAAGATCAATTTGTGGAAGACTTTGCATATGTATGTTGCTATGAGAAAAGACGAACTATGAGAAAAATAAAGTATTATGTGCAGTATAAATCCACGTTATACCTCAAAAGGATTATGTAACATTCATTTAATTTGTATGTTTGTGTGTGTGTGTATATATATATATATATATATGCTAAGATTAATTGAGACTTATTATGTGCCAGACACTATTCTAAGCACTTTATATAATAGTCTCATTTAACTTTCATAACTCTATGAAATGGGCACCATTCTTATTCCCATTTTGCATATTAGGAAACCAAATCAGAAAATAAGATTAATTTTCCCAAGGGTACATAGCTAATAAGTTGCAGGGGCAAGATTTGAACCCAGGCATTCTGATTCCAAGCTCATATAAAAATACACATATAAATATATACACATATACGTGTGTACTTATTTACATAATGCAAAAATACAACATATATGCATATATAACAGACATGCACATGTCATGCGCCTAAATATTAAGCACTCTCAGGGTAACATTTTCTTTTTCTTTTTTAAGATTTATTTTCTTCAAGAACTGGGGTACAGGCTAGAGGCACGGGAGGGTGAGAGGATTCATCAAAGACAGAGCAGGGAGTAGAACAAGCAGAAGGACCAAAGTACACTGCTGGGGGGAGCAGCAGGTGAGACAGGAGAGGTCTGCCCTACTATATGGGTATATCCCTGGCTGGCTGGGAATCGAACCGGAGCTGCAGAGGCTGCAGACAGCTTCACAGCGCTGCACTCAACCCGCTATGCCACTGGGGAGACCCCTTAAGGTAACAACTGCTGTGGTTTCTTTATACTTCACATTTCCTTTTTGAACATAGATTAATTTTAGAAATTAAATTTTAAAATTTCTATCAGTGCAATAACTTGATCTCGGCCAAGAAATACTCTCAAACACAATAGGAACTGATCTGATTCCCAGTTGGATGAATCTTCTTTAGTTTTTCAGGCCACACAAATGCCCCATTTCTCTCCCTACATGAATCTAAATTATGACCATCAAGTAAGACCATCTCAAGTCCCATCTCTTCTCTAACGTCTTTTGAGATATTCCTTAATTACTATTGTACTTATATGCAGTACCACACAGTTTGTTCTCAACCTCCTCTGTATTAACTTTGGTTTCTTGACTAGATACCAAATTCTTTATACACTCACATCATATTTCACCATTTTGTTTTATTTTGTTTTCTCCCATCACTTTTAGTCCCACATGATGGCACACGTTGAGTAAATATTTGAGCATAGACTGACAGATGTTCTTTAAATATCATGACTGGCATCAAGGGTATGCATACCTTAAAAGCCACCAAGCATCTGAAGGATGTCACTCTACAGAAGCAATGTGTGCCCTTCCATCGTTTACAATAGTGGAGTTGGTAATTATGCCCAGGTCACTGGGGCTAGATTAAGGGTTGATGGTCCTAAAGGAATGAATTATTGCTGCATATGCTTAAAAATCCATAAAGTAATGCTGAAGATTGAAGGTCATGACAGACAAAGAAGGTCTAAGAAATATTCAGACTGGAGATGACTAAGGGAACGTAACAACTAAGTGTAATAGAGAATCGTGGCTTGGATTATGGAAGCGAAAAGGGACATAGTTAAAAAATGATGAAATATGAATAAGGCCTACACTTTAGATCACAGGTTGACTAACTTTGTCCCACAAGCCAAACCTGGTCCACTGCCTGTTTTTTAGATGAAGTTTTGCCCTGGTCATCATTTTCATATTATATAGCTTTCTCACAGTGGCAGAACTAAACAGTGGTGGCACAGACCATAAATCCTGAAAACTATAAGATATTTGTTATCTCAGGGCTAGCATCAGTGTCAAGCAAGCAGGGTACCTAAGCTTATGGATCCTTTCTCCCCCACCCCTCAGGATTCTGCACTTTGACAATTCTAAGAGTTAGCACCTCCTTAAATTTTGAGTCCTAAGCAGTCACTGCTTGCCTCACTCTTCCCTGATCTTGTCTATCTAGTCTGTTACCAGACAACTGTTTGCTGGCCCCTGTTAATACTATTGCACTATGTCAATACTATGTCAATTTTCTGGTTTTGATCATTATACCACCAATACATATGATGGTAACATTAAAGGAAGCTGTGTGTATCTCATTTCAGTTTGTAAGTAGAATCAAAATATCAAGTTGTCAAGATAATACTTTCATTATCCTTTTAATATGTCACAGTATACACAGAGAAATGTGTCTACCACTGGTTACCACAAACAAAATTAAAATTGTAATAAATGATCTGCTATAAACATTATAAACAAGCAATTGAATCATTTTATTAGGTTTGGTCAAAACTAAATTTCCTTCTTGCAGACTGAAAAGACAATAGCATAAGTATAAAAGATGGACAAGGGGTCAAGAATGGGAATATAATGAAAATACAATGACTTTTATCACCTAGCATGACAAAGTTTTTTAAAAATCCTAATTGTGAATTATGTTCATTTGATTTTAAGAGTTCCTTCAAAAATTATTTAGCAATAGTCTAAAGCATGAATACCATACATGGTAAAAAAAATGGTAATACATTTTCTCAATTGCTCCAAGCAAATTACCACCAAAATAAAAAAGAGTAACATATTATTCTAAAGGAAAAATATGCAACTAAAACATCATTATAACCTATCTTGTGTGTTTAACATCAAAGTACCTAATATAACTTACTCCATGTAATAAAAAAAGAGATTTTAATCCTCTGTGTTCAATATTGCACCCTATTCTCATAATAAAAGTACACTGTATTACTAAATTTCAGTCTTATGAAACAAAGATAAATAGAAAAGCATTTTGCTTTAAGTGCTTTTAAATGCATTAAAGATAATAGTTATAAATACTTTTAATATATTTAATATATAATAGTGAATATATTTTGTATATATCTCAGTAATATTTAAAATATGAAACACTGGTAAAAAAAATGGTAATACATTTTCTCAATTGCTCCAAGCAAATTACCACCAAAATAAAAAAGAGTAACATATTATTCTAAAGGAAAAATATGCAACTAAAACATCATTATAACCTATCTTGTGTGTTTAACATCAAAGTACCTAATATAACTTACTCCATGTAATAAAAAAAGAGATTTTAATCCTCTGTGTTCAATATTGCACCCTATTCTCATAATAAAAGTACACTGTATTACTAAATTTCAGTCTTATGAAACAAAGATAAATAGAAAAGCATTTTGCTTTAAGTGCTTTTAAATGCATTAAAGATAATAGTTATAAATACTTTTAATATATTTAATATATAATAGTGAATATATTTTGTATATATCTCAGTAATATTTAAAATATGAAACACTGGAAATAATGAAGTATTTAACAATAAGAGAATAATTAACTGATTCAAATATTATGCAGTCATAAAATTGTGTATGAATTAATTAAAATGTGTATGAAGAGTGTTTAACAGGATGGAGAAATCCTTGTAATAATGTCCATGGATAAAAGCAAGAATCAACAAGTATATATAATATTATCCCAACCATGTCTTCCAAAACATACACACACACACACACACACAGGAAAAAGACTGGAAATTAACATACCACACATTAACATTTACTTTGGGAAGTAGAATTATAAATGAGTTTTCCATAATTAAAAAAATGTACAACCTTTATATTTGGCTATAGGAAACTTTAAAAACATTATTCTCTTATAGATCAAGTGAACAGCTATAGAGTTCTCACATGATTTGTTTTAAAAGCTACTCTTTTAAGAAGTAATATCTCTTTTAGGAAGGAAAAACCATTTGACATATTCACAAAAAAGAATATTTCTTGGTTCATATAATTAACTGCTCATATGAAAATACATATTTTAATAAAACATTCCACAATAACTAATTGCTAGAAAATTATTTCATTTTAATTATAGTATAGTTTTTGTATAGTATGAAACACTGCCAATGACAATTACAATAAAATTCCAGAAATGTATTTTTAGTATATTGTGAAAGAGTATAAGGCCATGTGCCAGAACACACATATTTCACTCAGCAACTTGCATAAAATTTCATCAAACACTATTTAACATACAACACACATTTAAATTCTGAACTTTCTCTGAAACCAAAGTGTTTTTTAAAAATACAAGATTAGATTTTAGCAATGAGACTAAAACTTCCAATTTAAAACCTTAAATAAAAATTGTAAATACTGTTATGAAAAAGAACAGTTTTATCCACTGTCTTACCGAAGACAGTTCATCGCATCCCAGTAAGGCGTAGTAATCTTCAGTATCTTCTGATCTGTAATTCAGTATTGCATCCATTTAGATTACTAGATCAGCTTTTCTTCCTCCTGAAACAAGAGGCAAAATGCGTTTCAAACTAACAAGAAAAGCCCTTTTAAATCTAGCTTACAGCAGCACATTCCAAACGTCAGTAACTAGATTGGCTGGTCACAGTCTACACAGCAGATGTCATCCCAGACCATTGTAAAAGCTATGTTTCATTGGTTGTTTACAAAAGAGAAACACTAGACCACGTGCCTGACTGTTGCAGTGCTGTCTGGGATCTGTAGTTTGACTTTAGGTAAGTGATGCCTGTCAACCATAAGTCTTATGGGTTGACAAAGACTGTATTTTAGTCACAGTTAGCCATCTCTCCATCTCCTATGTTTTTTATCTTTTTCTTTCCTTTTTAAGAGATGAAGAAAATTGACGCTAAATGGTAAAATCTTAGGCTTTGTTAAATATGAGTAGCAGGAATTTTTCTGTGTGTTTAGAATTTTTCATAACTTTTAAAAGTTTTAAGAGTAGAAGATGAAATAAGTCAGATGGAGAAAGACAAGCACCTCATGATTTCATTTATACGTAGAGAGACTCATATAGAACTAAACAAACAGATGCACAAAATAAAACAAAAATAAACTTTTTAGACTATAAGATCAATTAGTGATTACCAGTAAAAAGGGGGTAGGTGCAGGTTAACTGGGTAAAAAGGGGTCAATTGTCTGAAGGATAGAACTGGACTTTTACTGGTGAACTTAATGTAGTATATACACATGTATGTATTTTTAATTATGCACAACTGAAACTTATGTTATTATTCAGTGTTATTTCCACTTTTTTTCAGAAAAAGGAAAAAAAAGGAAATTGCAAATTTTCATTCATTTCATATCATAGCATAAGTAATTTATTCACTTGACAAATAATTAATGAAAACCTTTTTTGTGCCCAGCAGATTGTAGGGAAAGGTATGCTAAACAAGTCTCAGTTCTTATAGTTTACATTTTGAATGGAAAGAGACAGACAAGAAACATCCAACAAAATCATTTAAAATAATGATTTGTGCTATAAAGGCAATAAAATAAAATAAAAGTCTTTCTCTTTTGTAAACAACCAATGAAACATAGCTTTTACAATGGTCTGGGATGACATCTGCTGTGTAGTCTGTGACCTGCCAATCTGGTTACTGTCGTTTGGAATGTGCTGCTGTAAGCCAGATTTAAAAGAGCTTTTCTTGTTAGTTTGAAACGCATTTTGCCTCTTGTTTCAGGAGGAAGAAAAGCTGATCTAGTAATCTAAATGTATGCAATACTGAATTACAGGACAATGAGGCGAACTCTGTGATGACTACAGTCAGACCACTATGCCATTTCACCTAAGCTGGCACTCTTCAGATTCAGGAGTGTCTAGTCTAAGGTGAGTCCAGGAAGTCTATATTTCAGCTCATTGTGGCCCTAGAAATTACAGTTCATGTCTAGGATTTAGAGAAGGCCAGTGGTCAGAGATACAACATTTTAAGTTTAGCCCTTTAGCCTTAACTGTTTAAATGCTCCCATAAATTCTCAACTTAAAAAAAAAAAAGCTTCATCAAGTCCACTTGTATGCATCTTTTTAAAGATTTCTTTCTTTCTTTCTTTCTTTCTTTTTTAAGATTTACAAGAACCGGGGTACAGGCCAGGTGCGCGGGAGGGCGAGAAGACTCAACAGAGACAGAGCGGGGAACAGAACAGGCAGACTGACAAAATAAACTGCTGAGGGGAGCAGCGGGCGAGACAGGAGAGGTCTGCCGCGTCATGTGGGACCCTCGCCAGCCTGCTGGGATGGAACTGGCGCTGCAGAGGCTGCGGACAGTCTCACAGCGCTGCGCTCAACCACCTGTGCCACCAGGGGAGGCCCAAAAGGTTTATTTCTGAAGACAAATAAAGCTTGAAGGTACTTTTTACTAATCCTTCATTATATATACACTCTTGTTAAAAGTTCTACATGAAATTTGAAAATAAAGTACAAATTAGGGCCTCCCCGGTGGCACAGCAGGTTGAGCACAGCTCTGTGAAGCTGTCCGCAGCCTCTGCAGCACGGGTTCGATTCCCGGCCGGCCAGGGAGAGTCCCACTTAGCGCGGCAGACCTCTCCTGTTGCGCACGCTGCTCCCCTCCGTCTGCCTGCCTGTTCTGCTCCCCACTCTGTCTCTGGTGAATCCTTGATGATTCCACTTAAATGAAATCTCTGGAAGTCAAATTTGTAGAAACAAACAAAAAAAAATAGAGGTTACCATGGGCTGGCTGAGGGTTGAGGGAGTTGTTTAATAGGTATGGAATTTCAATTGGATCAGGTCCTTGATGAAAACACTTGCACTGTGACTTTATAAGAGAAGCAGCACACCTTGAAAGGAAGTGCCCAACTAGACAGTCATGTTCTTCTTATTTTATAAACTAACACAAATTTCACATTCCTGTTTTGAAATTAATTTTCATTTACATAAATGTTATTCACCCTCAAAAATTTGGGATTTTTTTAAAAGACACAGTATTCCAAGGTTAGTAAGTAAAAAGTGGAAGTTTTGCCTCACATCCCCCTCTGCCCAGAGGGAAACAGTGTGAGTTGAGTTATTTTTCTTGTATTTTTCATATTTTTCTAAATGTTTATACTCCAGAACTTCTTTTAAATGTAGAGTATTGCACTGTGATATCCCCACTAATGCCTTATTCAAACAATAGCAAATGGTAAGAATATATCTTATAAACCTTCCAACTCAACTCTAAATTTCACCACTAAGACAAAAAACAAAAGGTTTGAGGTCATGTAAGAATACATTACATATGAATATAGTGTATATACTACATGTAAAATAGCCAAATGTCCATATATAATACTTAAATTTCATTATTTATATAGTTATATATATTCCATTATATATTAGTTGTATATGAAACGATCAAATGACCTCTTATAGTACTTATCTTTTAGATTTAGCTAAACCTACATATTTAAAATCATATCATGTATTAATTTAGTAATAGTGCTTTTCTTCCATTGTATGAAAACTTGGTAAAATTAGAAGAATAAGCCATCTACCTTTTTTCCAAAAGGATGGTTTTGGAAAAAACTTTGCCTTATATTTGAATATACATAATATTTTCTCAATCTGGGGATTCTACTTTAATCATTCGTAGGTTTTAAAAACATTTGCATAATTTTTTCTCTTTAAGATGTGTATTGATTAGAAAGAATACTTGAATAAATATTAATGACCTTTGGGGGAGGTATTCAGGAAAAGGTAATAAAGCAAAATGAGCAGGAGATCTGAGAAAATTTGGAGGGCCTCTTTATTTGTTTCCCCAAAGCAACCTTCAAAACTGCTGAAACATCTCATGGGAGGGTTGTTCTACCTAAGTAGGATGTCTGGAAAAAATCAACGTTTATAAAACTAAAGCTATTCTTCCTATACCAAAATAAATTACAGATAATCAAATAGTTCAGAAACTGTTAAAAAAATAATAAACATGATATACTAAGATTAGGCAAACACCTTTACAAGGCCAGAAAATACAAAAGCAAAACCGTAAGGTAAATAATGTGCTAGGTAAGAAAATTCACATTTCTCATAACAGAAAAAAGGCTGCTCCTAATTTCCCTAGAATGCAAATAAAAACAGACAAATCAGTATAAAAAGACACAGGTCCTGTAAAAAACTGGGCAAGGATATGACTAGTTTAAGAAATATAAGTGACCAGTAAACATGAATAGGAATGCAACCTCACTCCTAATTCTCAACTATGATACTGTAAATCAGCGTCATAACTGTTCGCCTCTCAGACTAGCAAAATTTCTAGTTTGATAATATCCAATGCCAGAACAAAAGCCAAGTGAACATACTCACACACTGTTGGATAAGTGTATAAATTGGAACAATTTGTAAATTTGGTGGTATTTATCAACTTTTATAAAACATACCTCATAAACTACATATTTCTGTCTCCACGAATTTACCCTGTGGATTTACACCAAAATATGTTTAAGACGATCATTGCAACAACAATAATTGGAAACAACCAAAATGTCCCTGGATGGGGTAGAGAAGAGGAGCAGTGGAAGAATAAATTATAGTATTTGTGGGATGTAACTATTTTATAGCCATTAAAAAGAGAATTAAAGTGCAAGTATGGAAAACTCTCTAGGATGAATTATCAAATGAAAAAATAAAGTTGACGAGAGTATTGTAGTATTATCTACTTCGTGTACTTTTTATTAACATGTACATTTGCGCTCAGCTTTTCCTCTAAAAAGCGGGTACGTTTTCTTTCCAGAGAAGGGAACCGGGGAGATACCGAAGGGAAGCTTTTAGTTTCAGTTTATACCTTTCTGTAATGTCTGTATAAAATCAAGGTAGTCGTCCCGTCATTGTTATTTTCTTTATGCTCATTAGTACTTTAAAAGAGCAAACATCATTTTACATATGCTCACTGAAGAAAACCTTTAAATATATGCAACAAATACACGGTAGAATTTTACAGCAGAGCGCCTCAAGATTCAGGTGTCCTACCTTAGAGACGAGGATTAGGAACACCGCCCACTAGCCTCCCGCCCCAGGACTACAACTCCCACAAAGCATCGCGGGAACAGCGTGCGGAGGCGACCGGGGACGTCCTAGCTACTTCCGGCTACCAGAAAACCGTCCCTCCGGAAGTGCATTTAGAAAATGTTTTACTTCAAATTCCCTCGTCTTTAAGAGGGAAGGAAGAAAAAAAAGTGAAACTCAATCGTAAAGGGAAAGGCCTGGAAAATAAGAGTTTAAAAGCCCCAGAAGCTCAAAGCGAGAGCAGAAGTCAGGCAGTCAATACATGGGCTCTGCGCGCCTCCTCAGTCCTCCGAGGCGCCGCTTCCCCCCTTCTCGCTTTTCCTCCCAATCTCGCGCCTAAGTTCCGTGCTACAATTTAAAATCGACCCGTTTCCGTTGCAGGGCTAACAAATCCGAGCCTCTACGGCGCAAAGCCCAAGTCCCAGAGACTCCCTGCAATCGTCAGTCCTGTAACACAGGCCCGGCTCCCTGCTCAGTCTGGGATCCTGGACTC